TCTTCCTTCCTTCCTCTCTTCCTCTCTTCCTCTCTTCCTCTCTTCCTTCCTTCCTCTCTTCCTTCCTTCCTCCCTCTCTTCCTTCCTTCCTCTCTTCCTTTCTTCCCCTCTCTCTTCCTCTCTTGCTCTGTCTCTGTCTTTCACTTTCTCTCTCCTTCTTTCTCTCTCCTTCTTTCTCTCTTTCTCCTTCTCTCTCTTTCCTTCTTTCTCTTTCTTTTTCTCTCTTTCTTCTTACTTCCAGAAAAGTGCTAGCAGCTAGACAGAGCAATAGAAGAAATGCTAGAAGAAACATTTAAAACAAGCCAAAAYAAATCTTGTCAGTGGGTTGTTTTCTGGTTGGGATTTTTTTATTATTATTGCTTGTTTACATAAAATAAATTAAGTTCCAAGCTTCATGACACAATAGACTATAGATAGGGAAGCGAGAATAAAGCTTTTTTTAAAAAAATATTCTTTAAAGCAGATGAAATGGTATTTATGAGAGCTGGGAATGCAACACAGATTTTGAATATAGAATTTCAAGAAGATTATCATTGTCTTTTAAAGCAGTGTTTTTTAATTTTCTTAGCTTTACAGATCACCAACATATTTCCCATGTAAATGCAGATTATGTATTCTGMTGATCATAAGACTCATCACCTCTCATAGACCCTTTCATAGTTATGGAGGAATGTCTGGGGCAACACTGACAGCACAAGTTGAACTCATGATGCAAAACTCTGTATAATTCTGACCTGTGAATGGATTTTTGCAAAGCAAGATACATGATCACATCACTGCAAGAGCATGTAGTTAGTTCTAGAGAAAAATTATGCTGAAAAAAACAGATGGAGGAAATAGGATACAAGGATACAAGAACACTTACAAAAACTCAGATATTAAATGGTTAAAGACTAGGTTCTATTGCTCTTTCCTCTAATGAGGACCTTTTTGCTATCTCTCCTGAATGTTCCCATTCTAAACAAACCTGAATAGAAAGCTAAAATGGAACCTTTGGCAGTTGCCAGCCAATACTTACATTTAGAGCATGCATAGATAGACTGCAACAAAGTTGAACAATATGTCCCAATGTCATTGCCCTGGAGTGTTTTGAACTAGACTCACTGAGGAACTATTGTCCGCCCTGTCTGTGATAGCAATAGCGATTCGTAAAATAGCCAGACAATGAAAATGCCMATTTTATTCCCTGTTTGACCATAGTGGTCCTGCGTGACCAAAGGTATATCATTAACATGTAGGAGATTGTAGGTATATACATGTAAATATGGCAGAAACGTAAATTGCACGTGGCAATATTTCCATATCTCACGTAATTGCTGTGTGAGTAAGCAGAGGACTGGTGACATGTATGATATGACAAGCCAATATAGTCCTATTATCTTTAAGTAGAGGAAGAATAGAGCATGAATGGTACCTGAAACTGTCTCCCTGGAGTGCTATTGTCATGAAATTAACCCTAGAATTTCCTCAATACTGTCCCATTTTCTTTTGCAGAAAAAAACAGGTTTTCAGCTGATACTAGCTGCAGGACTGCTGTCTGCTCATCACTTCCTTAGCAGCCTAGCATTTCGTGTCTTTCAGAGCACACAATATATAAGGCATTTCTCTTCTCCTATGCATTCCCCAGAATCATAAGTAGGATATCTTGGCACAACTCCATTCTCTTAAATTGTTGGGGGTGATTCTGTAACTCTGGAGCTCTATTCAGTAATCCACAGAATGAAATAATTTGAGAACTGGTAGCTGGAGAGTTTGAAGGGGAAGTCATGCATGAGAGGATGTGAGTCTCTGTCTCCCTTGCAACACTGTCTGGAGAAGGAAAAGACTGGGGAATATCTGGTTTAATCTTTTCATTCTGCCTTTATTTACCATCTGCTGGGTTTTGATTCCCTACTGTGAAACTCTCCCAGAAAGTGCTGGCCAGACAGCAGCAATTACATTTCATGAGAAATTACAAGTTTGGACAGACGTTTTGGTTGCATGTGGGACAAAAGAGTGGCCTTTCAAAAATGTTGTGACATAGGAGATTACTGCCCATGCCATCCCAGAGGAGTCAATAACCAGAGCAGTGGGGGCAGTTGCTCCCCCTGACAGAAGGGACTGCTCTATCCCCCTCTCTTCAGAACCAGGCCAGGTATGCAGGCTGCTACGGTGCAGCTGAAATGGTCTTAATCCTCACACTAGCTCTCTCAGGAGAGTCTATTGGGTAAAGTCGTTCATGAGTTGTTCATGCAAAACAGGAGAAAAACAGACTTTATTAAAGGTGAAGGTTCCTTGTTTTACAGAGACTGAATTGCCATGAGTTGCTGGGTCATGTTACTATGTTAGCTGACAAGGAGTTTGCTCAGTTCTCACAGGTAAAATCCTGCTTGACCAGTTGCTCCAAATAGTGTCCAATAAACATGCCGCAAAGTAATCCATCTCCCCATGCTTGAACTGCTGTATTAACACTTGGTTGTCTCCTGCTTACAATGGTGGTGGGCTAGCAGTGCCTCAGGAAATATGTACGTTTTCAGCTCACACGATACTTTATTTGTGCCCACCACAATGTCATTCATTGGAGAAGTTTTTCCTTTTACAGCTCACCAGATTCTCACAGCATTGCTCACACTAGTGAAGAGGTTCTTAAAATAAAGCAGGGCTTCTTCATACCATTAGGGTCTACTTAGTGTGAACAGTCAGTGTTAGACCCAAGTGAACTCTGTGACTTTGTATAATTAAATAATTCAAAACTATGAATGTGCCTCAAAAGCACATCAGAGGGTAAAAATATCATATTTTAGGTTTATTAACGAGTGCCGTGTGAAGAAACGGGCAAGAAGTGTAGGCAGTTATACTATATCGATTCCTGCCAGAATATCTGAAAAAGAAACCCAGTTCACCTCACGTAATGTAACTTCCAATTGTATCAAAATGGAAACACGCCAGTTTACATTTTGGTCACAAATATTGGTGACTACCAGATTCAAATTAGTGGTTCTAAAGCATATTCTGACATTCTATATTGCATTCTGGAGAACCTTCTTCAGTTCAACATCAGAAGAYATACTAGACCTAAGAGATTGTAGTAATTTTAAAACTTTCACCTTAACTCTTTTCTCATCTATATTTCAGAATATGAGATCATTTAGTGAACAATACAAAATATTTTCACAGTTGAAATTCACCTTTGTTCCATTCAAGATGGGAAAACGAATGATGAAGAAAACCTTTTTTTTTTTTTTTTTTTTTTTTTTTTTTTTTTTTTTTTTTTTTTTTTTTTTTTTTTNTTTTTTTTTTTTTTTGTTGGTTGCATTTTATGGTCCCTAGGATAGCTAAGAGGGGAAACAAAGATTCTTGCTGGCAGAATAACAGTTAACTCAAGAGGGAGCATACAAGAGAGTAAAAGGAGTTTTCCCTATGTACTTTTGGCAAGAAGTGGTGTAAGAAGTGGAGTACTGCATTTTTACAGCAGGACTATCCCCTCAGTCTCTTTTGCTACTCTGCTGGCATACTGCCTTCTCTCACTTTGCTAGTGCAGAGTCARCAAGGATCTGTGGTACCCTTGAACACTGCCAGAAGGACAGTCTAACACCAAGACACTCTGACAAAAATTGAAAAAACACCTTGCTATCTTTCCTTCCAAGGCCTTCTCTTAAATCTTGACAGGGATAGTTCAGCAATAAGTGAAGAGATGGTTAATTTTATAGAGAGAGCTCTGAGGATTAAGCATTCATCAAATGTGTCTCCCAGTAGTACGTAGCCAGGGAAGAGGTAGGCATACTGGAAGCCCTGGAAGGTCATTTTGGGTGACAAAAACAATGACTAGTTCATGCTATTCATGCTAGAATTGATGTGGTCCTCTCCCTTCCCCACTCTCCCTTGGGCTGAATTACAGCAGTTACACTACTGTAACACTGCTCGTTTGCTTACTTGTTTTAGGATATTGGACTGGCTTCTCTTGGATTGTCTGAAGCAGAGATTGAGAAATTGGCCTCAGTAAGTATAGATGGCAGTTTAATATCAGAAGCAAAAGCAAAGGCTTCATTGCATATCCTTCCTTGTGCAGATGAGCCTTCTCTCATATCTGGAATTAGGCACACAAAAATGGGAGCACCAGAAGGATCTTGTCTTCTCTACATCCACGGTTTAGGGTTGGGTAGGAGCTGGTGGGGGTGGGAGCCCAGAAGCATATGAGCATCTGAGAAAAGGCTTATAGCTTTTGCTTCCATACAAATATATTCCAGAAGCTGAGTTGCTACAATTTTAGCAACAGGGGAGTTCCAACTCACTTTCCAGATTCACCTAACAGGGTGGTTATTCTTTGTGATTTTCTCATAAACAAAAGAGGTGTATGAGACCATTCAAATCCAATGCACCCTATATCCATTAATCTCACAGAACAGGAGAGCTCTTAAAATCAATTTGAGAGAAAGTCAAATTCAAGTTTGGAGTCACTAGCCTGTAAGCATCTGTGAGAACAAYTCATGCTATCCCTAGATGCCGTTTTAATATGACCTGAAAGTAGGCTGCARGCCAGATGACTTTTACTGATAATGGCAGCCATTTCCCAGACCTGATAATTTTTGCAGTGGAGGAGATGAGAGGAGCCTTATTTATTCATACAGCTCACGTACACATCAAGGATGAGCTGAAATTCATTCAGGAAAGTAGGTGGACGGAAGGAGTCTGTCACTGTCCACAGCCACACTCATAGTGTGGTAGCATAAGGGCACCATGTGAAAAACATTATGGGTAATCTAAAATCCATCTGCAAATGCCCTTCCATGCTTCAGGACTAGGTGAGACTAGAGGTATTTTCAGAGCTGGGAAAATAGAGGGACCCAATGGGGTTTTTTTTGTAACATCATACAGATCCTGAGTTGGTGGAGTATGGGAGATAGATGGAAAGAGGCAGTGGCACGTTCATAGTTGCTCTACAATTATCCTTCTGTGGACCTGGATAGGCTAAAATAAGATTAAGGTTCATCTTTTGGTTAAGGCTAAGAGAATGAAGGTTCCCAAGGAAAAATTTTTTGCACTGTTACTTAATTCTTTATGATACAGAGTGGTGGTCCTGTTTTGGTAGAACCTGTGGTTTGGTAGAGCCTCTGCACCACCCCACTGGCTCCAAGCTGATTAGAGTTAGGGCCACGGTTAGCAGAATGATGGGTTCCAGATTGATCATGGATACAGACAAAGATCCATGGGAACACAGTTGTGTAAGTGCTATTGAAGCCTTCTGAATTGTAAATGTATATTCTGGATTAATCTTTCAATCTGTAATTGTTTAAAATTTAGAGATCTAATGTAGGTTCATTGCTTAGGTACTTTCACTAGACAATAGAGAAAAACCTATAAAATATTCTCTAACCCAACATAGATGCCAAACATAAATTTTTCCTTTTTTTTTCTGGAAGACCCTACCGTTCTCCACTTACTATAAAGAGAATTCAAGAAAATAGCTTAGATGATATGCCACCATTTTATCCAACTAATTTTTTTTTTAAATGAATCTCTACTTGTTGCTACAGTCTATAGTTGCACAACAGACTTTAAAATATGATCATATCACTCTGCTGCTGGATTAATTTAAGTAGATGGAACTGAGCTCAGGAGACTAGAAACTGTCAGTGTTCCTGTTGTCCTTGAAGTACTATTAATACCATGTCTTGTACCTTATTAAAATAATGAGGGCAAACAACTTAATTAGCTCAAAGTCAAAGACATGGTATCTAAAGAACCACCAAAAAGAATTGCTTATCTTAGGGCATTGCTCCATTTTCCACTCTCCAGTCAAAAATACCTTCTGCAAAATTAGGGGATCCTCAAAAACTAGGATATAATTAGTGCCAAGATTATAAGTACAATAATGATAGAGAATTATCACATGAATTGTAGAACAAGCAGCTCAGAATTCTGCAGGAAGAAGGATCATGGCATGATGCCTTTTAATTGTAAAATTTACAGCTAAAATAAGTCACCAAATCCTATGTCAGAGGTATGTCAAAGATAGCGGGGTAAAGGAAAATATTGTGAAAGGCAGAATAGACAGGAGTTAATAGACAGGAATGTGCCTACAGCAATTTGTGAAAGATGTTGATATTGCTGTGCTTATAGTTAAATTACACACAAAAGGCCCAGACCTGAAATGAGGCAGCAAAGAGCTGTGTATCGCAAAGGAACATTGAAGAGTTGTGACACAAGGCTATTTTCTTGAAAGGTCTCCTGTTTTCCATGTTGTGGACAACATCTTTTGCACAATAGTGATCCAGGAGCTCCGAGGTCAGATGGTGTCCAGAAGTGGCTCTACGTTGCTCATTTTCTTAACACAGTAAGGGAAGAGATAATAGGCTGGCGAAACAGTGAAATACTTTTACCCCATTACTGTCCTAAGTATGGTCCTAATAACATTTATTGCTAGAACAGCCAACACAGACTCACTTTTTTCTTTTACAGTATGATAAAGATGGAATTGACATGATCTTAAAGGTCACATTGCTGCCAAGGAATAAGTCATTCTTAAATTCTGCTGGATGCTGCTGTAGAGAGTGATGCAATGGGTCTTTTCAGGGACCTTTTCTGAGATCCTAAACCACACAGTGGGTATCTCCCAATGCTTATGGGGAGTATGTAGAGAAATCTCCAGGTTATTCTCACTATAATGCTGCTCACAGTTAGTAGGATGCATGCTAATTTGTGACATCTTCCAAAGTAAGAAAAGGATATGACTTTATGATTTTATTTGCCCCTTTAATTAGCATTAACACTTTTTGGTAGTGAAAATGGGAAGTAGTTTTTGAAAAATATGCCTTAGAATTTATGTCTTAGAATTTATGTGTTTTGTATTATGCATGTTAGAGAAAAAATAATTTTCTTAAAATATATATATTCAGGCATTAGACACAAAGGCATTTAGAAAATGGCACTTAGACCCACTTAGGCCCTTAGACACATTAGGCATTTACACACAAAGATATTAAAGAGTAAGGGTAAAAGAAAACAGAAAAAAGAAAAAGGAAAAAAACCAAAAATGATGAAGAATGAACTTCCAGCTAAGACTACGATTTTCACAATTTGTTTTTGATTATCAGCTTTATTGGTTTACTGTGGAGTTCGGACTCTGCAAACAAAATGGATCCATTAAAGCTTATGGAATAAGGCTGCTTTCATCTTATGGGGAGCTGATGGTATGTCTTGTACATATGATATTATACGATATCTAGACTAAAACCAGAATAATCTAGTTTTCTAAACTTTGTAGCAAAACTGAAAGATTCTCCTCACATAGCACAATATTCTCATGCTAGATTTAAAATTCTGTTTTGTGAGTTTTTTTTGACAAAAAATATCACTCTTCTCTCTGCAGAACCTACCACTTTTGATAACCTAATGAGAAAAAATGGAGTGACAACAACAAACTATAAACTGTTAGACTATCTATTAGACTTACAGACTAATATATAGACTATAATAATCTATATAGGCTATATAGATAATAAAAATTCTTTAATTCTATAATAATAATCTATATAGACTTACTAGAGTATAAACTATTAGACTAGACAGCTATAGACTCTAGCTGTTTACTGTCCTGTCTAATAGTAATATAGTTGATTTTGACATAAAACTCATGTACCTTTCTGCATTATTCACTAGAGGGCAATATTATGCCTATTATGAGTTCTGTCCTTTGTCCATGGCATTGACCATGTATATATTAGAAGAGGAGTGTCTGACTGGACCAAATGAAGTGCCAGAAAACTAAATAGCATATGCACTAAACAATAAGAAAGTTCTATAGAATTTTAGGTTCTGAAATGCTTTTTAAAACTGATTCCTGATTGGAGTTTTATGTAGATGAAAATCACTGTACACATGTTTGAAAGTGCACTGTTTCAGCAGATTTACTGTATGCCTTTACAAGGAGCTTATAAACAACTAACAGAATGGATATCCATTTCTTTGTTTTGCGAGGCATGGAAGCAGATGATTAGTTCCTAAGTACCAAAATCTTAGCACTGAAATCAGCCATTCTCAATTGCTTGCAGATAGTGAATGCTTTTTTTTTTTTTTTTCCGCATGGGCAAGAGATAAAGGAAAATGGTTGTTTTTTTCAAGTCTTCTTACAAAACTTTTTTTTTTTTCATGGCTTTCTTAAGCTTAACAGATAGATAAAGCAACCAAGCACCAGCTATGCGATATGCTCATGTGGAACCATCATTTTGCTTTTGGTGCCCATGATTTGAGGCTAGAATGATTATGATATTACAAATATTACAACACTCTCCTGATTGGTAGAAGTGTCAACCTCCCAGTCAATGACAAAAAGAGGAGACAATACACTAGCATATCTCAAAATATCTGTCATAGGAGCAGGAGGACACATGGAAGTTAGTGTATAGAAAGAGGAACACTCCCAGACCTTTCATTTCAACTGTGCTTTGGCATTATTTTTTCTCTTGCACTTGCAAAATGAAGAGTTCTGTTTGCAGACTCAATAGTATATGACCTGTAGAGCTGTCTCAYTTGAGAAGTGGAGAAATCTTTATTTCCATCAACTCTGTAAAGAAAAAACGTGTCTTTTTTACTGTGCAGCAACCTGATTTGTGCACATGATACAAGAATGTGCTAACATTACTACAGCACTGCTCCTTAGGACAGTGAAATGTACTGTTTTGGAACAGCAGATCAATGAGCACCTCTGCAAATTAGGCTGCAGTGCAACATATTTGGTTTGCACATCTATGGGTTTCAGGATAAAGCTGACGCTACTAATTTTCTGAGAATCCTTGGTACTTGTATTCACAGTCAATAAGCAGAAAACATGGACTTGTTTTTATTTATCTTGTAACACCGAGAAAATTAAATATCAAAATCCAGTTCAAGGCAATATTTATTTTGTTCTTCTTGCCTGAATACCTTTCCACTTTAACTCAAAAGCATTTAGATATCAAAAGCAAGACAAAAAAGGGCACTGATACTCATGTCTCCAAAACTTATGTTTTGAGGGACCTAGGCTAAAGTTCAGAAGTTCATAAAAGGTTAACTAGTAGCTTTACAGGAGAGCGTCCAGCAATTCTGATTTGAATCTTTAATCATTTCGTCATAAACAAAAGGAGCTTGGCACCATCTAAGGTTAGGTTTGTGGCTAAGAGCAACCAAGTTAGTGAGTGACCTCACCTGTAAAATCCAGGATTGCACTTGCTGTTTAAGGAAATTTAAAAAGCATGGAGTCTATATGCTTGTTACTGCCTAGCTGTCATTAATATTCATTGCAGAATCTATCTGCATGATGTTACCTCTTTTTCTGTTAGTTTGAATTTGGCACAGGTGAAGGTATATGTCACATAACAAACATTTGTATTTAGTGGCTGGGTTAGAGCATACAGCATTTGTGTTCTTGCTGTCTTTCTTTGCTTCCCTATACTTTAATAATTTTTTTTTTTGCTTTTCATTGAAGTAGTAGCCCAGAGTCGCTCGTTCTCAAAACTGTACTATAGAACACAAAAGTATAACTGCACTTCAGATTACTTACTTCTAAATTTGACTATAGGAAAAAAAAAAAACTATTCGTGAGTTGATAAGAGTTTCTTATAATTCCTTTTTTTATCAATAGTTGCTTGGGTTATGACCTGGATAAGTTCTTGACACCTTCGGCTCCATCCAGGTTTCTCATCCATCCTGTTTCTGAAATAACACACAGAGGTGATAGCAACTGTATTCAATAGGAAATGAAAAGTGATGCTTCTTTCCAGAACTGTGTCCCTCTTGCATAACATACCTGAGTCAGGCTAAGGATGGGTGGTTAGTTCACCAGAAATGCCCTGCGTAATCCTTGTGTGAGCTTGGAAATTTTCTCTCTGGAGAGTTTTTTAGGGCTCAACAGTCACCTTGAGCATCTCAAACTGCTTGTGAAGAAATTAATTATACCCATGGATTTAGGTGCTGAAGTTTCCTTTTACAGCTGATGGATTTTATTTTATTTTATTTTATTTTATTTTATTTTATTTTATTTTATTTTATTTTATTTTATTTTATTTTATTTTATTAATACAGCAGTGGTTAAGCAACTACATTAGAGAAAATGAAGTAAAACTGCTCCTTGAACTTGGATTGGAATCTTTTGAGGCTCACAATAGCCTTCAGTCCCTTGTAGAATTTGTTTTACAGTCTTTGACCAGCTCCTGAGAAAGCTCAAGATAAGTTTCATTATCCTTGGGAAAAAGCCATTGTGCAAAGGAAACCAAATTTTTGGTTTTCTGATAATTATCTGCAAGTCTTTTAAATATTGGCCCAGATGTGTGCCTATGGACTGAGGCCTTCTACTCCACTCCTTATCATGTGGCTGATCAGCATAAGTAGTGGCACAGACAGATTCCCTGCAGCTCATGGGAACAGCTGACCTGCTGCAGCATCCTGAACATAGCAGAGAGATTTCTTACCACTGTAGCTTTCCTGCCCAGGAAAGCTGGTAAATTGGGATGATTTGGCCACTGAGGAGGTGATAAAGGCACTATTAGCTAAGGTCAGTTGGTGTACTGCAAGATGATGTCTTCTAACCACCTGAGAAGAGTCAACGGCATCATCCCCATTATGGGATCTGGCCAGGCTGGCTGTGGGTGGATGGCTGTAAACCAAGGAACTGCATCCTAGCTATGAAATCTTCAAAACACTTTCATCTTCTCTACAGCACCCATTCTGATCAGTCTGAATTTATCTGACCCTGACAGAACTCACGGCACCACTTGGCGAAAGGCAGATGATGCAAAAGAAGTAGAACTACTTGCCCTCCGCATGAGATTAGCTCTTGAATACAAGTTGTCTAACAAATCATTCAGTAACAGCGGGTAGGTATCAGAGCGACAGGATAACTGTGCTGACGGCTGAACTGAACAGTTATAGAGGGTCTGACTGCTGGCCAACCTTGCCTCTTCTGAACTGTAAGAATTCATCCCCAATAGCTATTGCAGTGTTTATTTCACTATATTCTGTCAGCTGTTCTGCATTATCTGAAATGCTTCTCCTGTTAACACTCAGCTGGACTCTTTCCTACATACTGTAAAATCTTATGGCTCATACCACACTTCTGGCAGCACTCAGTGCTACATATGCTTTTCTTGCAGCACAACAAGTTCTTAAATTGTAGAGGCTTTTCAGGCCATCCGGTTTCAAGCAGAACTTCCACTAAAATCAATGGGATTTCAGTTCTGTTTAGACACTGACAACATAGTGGGACCCCTGTCAGGTTTTGAGTTTCTAAAATCTTTTCCCATTATTCCCCAGAGGTTACAGCATTGTAAGAGCAGCCTTAGGTTTGTATATATCATCTATTTTAGACTGTAGGAGTTCTCTCCAAGGTTTACTCTTCAATTACACAGTGCAAATGAAGAATTGGAAAAATACTATCTATTAAYATTTTATATTTTTGTTCTTTTTTTAAAGAACCTTTTATTAATTTCTGCATCAGCTCTGCAACAAATTGGCCTACTGGTTAAGGCAGGCCTCCAAAGATGGAGAGTTCAGGCTCAGTTCAGTGAAATATCTAAAAATGTTCTTAAGCATGTCTCCAGTTAGCAGACTGAGCTCCAAGTCTTGTACAATGTTACCCACTCAGTTACCTGCTGTTACCCAATTGGTTCTTACAAAAAGCAGTATCTGGATTACAACATGGTGAAGGAAGGCTCCTGAAGACTGAGGAAGAATAGAGAGAAAGATGAGCAGGCAGACACCTCATCCTGACTAGCTGGAGCTCAAACCAGCTTTTAAGTACATTTACAGTCAGCTACATTTACATCACAGAAGCTGAGCTAGCTTTAAAGTAGCTCAAATAGTTTCAGTGTCAGATCAACTGCGCATGGAATGACTTGGAGCCTGAGCTCTGCTGCCTTCCCAGGTCCCCGCAGAAGTATGAAGTAACTGTCACTCAAACTTCAGTTCCCACTGGCACTTGGCCTACTGCTGCCTAGTTTGAAGTTGGCTCTAGTGTGTCTAAACAAGGGACCAAGGGGCCTGTGGACTGCAGTATGGACATAATACTCCAAGTTGAGGAGAAAGTAGGAGAATTTGCTACCTCCATGGGCCCAAAACAGAAACACATTTCTCCACATCTGCCCCATATAGTGACCATTTTGTATGCTTTGTTTCAGAGTAGCTTTTAGGCTGCTCTTCCTAGCATGGAACTGTGCAGAAAATACAATGAGCCTGCTGTCCACTCTTCAGTGCAGTAAAATGTGAGATTGGTAGGTGAGGACTCTGAGAAAGTGTTAGGCAATGGTATGAGTCTTCTACTGTACCAGATGGAAAAAAAAGGAAGTGTGATACTATGAAGTGTCTAATTATTTTTCTGCTAGATATTCAGATTTTGGGGTATGGGATATATATCCCTCCTTGCCTGAGAATGCAGCTGTGGTACCCAAATGTTGCAGTAGCAGAAGAAACAT